CATTGTGTGTACATCAAATGGTTTGGTGAGGATTTTATTATTCTCTTACTTTATGTTGATGACATGCTTATTCTTGGGAAAGATATGTCTAAAATTGACATGTTAAAGAAGGAACTGAGTGAGTCTTTTGCAATGAAGGACATGGGGCCAGCAAAGCAAATACTAGGCATGCAGATTTCTCGTGACAGGAAAAACAAGAAGATTTGGTTGTCACAAGAGAAATACATCGAGAAGGTATTGGAAAGATTTAGTATGAGCAATGCTAAGCCAGTTGGTTCTCCTCTTGCAGGTCACTTCAAGTTGTGCTCAAAACAGAGTCCGTCAAGTGATGAGGAGAAGGAGAAAATGCAAAAGGTTCCTTATGCTTCAGCAGTTGGAAGTTTAATGTATGCAATGGTATGTACGAGGCCAGACATCGCATATGCAGTGGGTGTTACTAGCAGATTTCTTGCAAATCCAGGCAAAGAGCATTGGGCAACAGTGAAGTGGATTTTTAGATATCTCAAAGGGAGCTCTAAGGTTTGTTTAAGCTTTGGAGGTGGACCACCTGTGTTAACAGGTTACACAGATGCAGATATGGCAAGAGATATAGATACAAGGAAGTCTACTTCAGGTTATGTACTTACTTTTGCAGGGGGAGCTGTGTCATGGCAATCCAGGTTGCAAAGGTGTATTGCTCTCTCTACCACAGAAGCAGAATATATTGCTGCTATAGAGGTATGCAAAGAAATGTTATGGATAAAAGAATTCTTATAAGAATTGGGGCTGAAACAGAAAAATTATGTGGTGCATTGTGACAGCCAAAGTGCCATCCATTTGTGTAAGAACCCAATGTTTCATTCCAAGTCAAAGCATATAGATGTCAGATACCACTGGATTCGAAATGTATTTGAAGAGAAGCAGTTGCAGCTTCAGAAAATTCATACAGATGACAACGGAGTAGACATGTTGACGAAGACCTTACCAAAAGAAAGACAGGAGATATGCCGACAGCTGGTCGGCATGGCTTCACATTGAGGAGTCATGGGACAGCCTCCCTTATGGGCTGAAGGGGGAGGTTGTTGGGCTGATGGCCCATATTCAACCCATGTGGGCTTTATCAACCCACAGCCCACACCCCCTCTTAACCTAACCCTAATTAAGATTAGGGGGGTGTGGTGGCTGTATTTTAGAGGCAGATTAAAGCTATAAAAAGGCAGCAACGAGGCAGATCTTGGTAGCCACGAGATTCCAAAGAGAAGAAGGAGAACAAGGCAGAAAAGGAAGAGAAAGAATGGGAAGAAGACAAGGACAACGCAGAGAGACTGTTCTCAATCATCTAGCAGTGTTCTCATCTCAGGTTAGATCAAATCTACAATAGGCTCTTACTGTGATTACTTGGAGTTTTAGATATTATGGGCAGTGACGTGATCCTTGTATCCCAGTTATTCTCTTGTGGTTGTTACTAGGGTTTTGGGTAAGAGATTGAGATTTGTACATTCATTATTCTCATATTGGATTATCTCTAGTTTGCTTCGTGGTTTTTACCCTTCACATTGAAGGGGTTTTCCACGTATATCTTGGTGTTCTGTTTGATTGTGTTTCCATTTTATTCCGCTGCGTATTTTGGTCTTCTAGTATTTGTTCCTATACAAAGGTTATTCCTGTTTATATCCCCATCATCATCATCTTAGGTGTATTTAGAAGAACAAATCAGAAAACTACTACTTCGTCTGGTACAGCTACATCAGATATTTGACTGACTCACAGGTCTGCATCTTAGTTCTACAGTAATTCCACAACACATGATCTGTATGTTCCTCAATTTATATAGTTTCATCACCATATCTTGGGAATGTAGTTTCATCACCATAGTATAGAGAAAGCCAAAATAGTTTCATCACCATATCATGGGAATGTAGCATGAGTCGCAACCAACCTCTCGATCTGCATTTCCGCTCAAAAGTCTCGGACTTTCCATGGTCAGCTCCATTTGCAATGATCATATTAGACATGACTGCCAATTACATCGTGAATGATGTCGATCTCCCTGTCATAATCAGGAAGAGATAATTGTGAGTTGCCACACCAAAACCAGAAGACGTTAGATGGTCGAGACATGAGCATGAAATGTAAGTTACCTCAAAGCTCACTGATGTCTTTTTTCTTCTTCTTCTTCAGCAGCAGCAGCAGCAAAAGCAGCATCAGTATCGACTAGGTTTGTGTCGAAGATGCAGGAACCCTTGATGTAGTTTATATAATTGCCTCGGCCATCTTCGATGGAAAAAATTGGAAAGTGTTTGATCATGGGCCAATATGCGCCATTTTGGAGGCATCTGCGGAGGAGTTGGGTGGTTCCGTGTACGTCCAGTCTCTGTAGTGTAGTGAAACATGCAGGGCAATCCGCCAACCACTCTGGTAAATGATTGATGCGAGATCCAAATGTGCCCAACTTCAAGAGCTCCAGTGCAGGAAGATCAGTAACAATCTCCAGATCTGATTCACCACTTATGCTCAGTTCCTTTACAGAAGGGAAACCTCTGATGGACTTGAGAGCACACACATTGGCCAGATCCAATGTGGTTAAGCAGGTTGCCTGTCGGATCAGGCCTTCCGGTAGAGACTTCAACTTGGGGCAATTTTCGAGAAACAATTTGTTGAGGCGACGCATAGCAAAACCTTCCGCTACCCAATCCCACACTTGCATGTTAATCATATCCCTGAGTCGCAGCTGCCTTAGTCTCGGAAACGACATAAGATGAGGAGGAGGAGAAGAGGAAGAAGGGCGTTCCCAATCGTGACCAGTAGCAGCAGCTTCACACCCAAAAAATTCCGGTCCAATGGTGGCCACTGCAAGTGTACCTTCGATGTGAAGAAACTCCAAGCTTGGGAGCTTCCCTAGCGGTGGAAGTAGTGGCCAGTAATGACAGTGAATTAGTTCCAAGCGTCTTATGTTTGGAAGAAGCGAACTGATGCATGAAGACACCATCCAGCTGGGGTACCGGAGGCCGACAAAATTCTCTAACCTGAGCGTAACAACAGACGATGGTGGATGAAGTGCCACATCCAACACCTTCTCGATTCTTTCAATCTCTTCCTCCCTGTAACCATCGGACGTCGGTCTGGGTAAGCAATGTAAATGTAGATTCTTTAGTTTTTGGTTACCCTTTAACACGCTTGTATCCCATCTTGGTTCACCTTCCATCCACGCCCTCTCCAACTTACAAATGGAGAGGTATCTGAGCCCCTGGAGGCTGCCTAGTACTTCCAATGGGCACGTACCATTAGCCGTGGTCACCACGAATCCTCGGAGTACATTGAGGTGTTTCAACCTTCCTATTCCATATGGTAAGCTCTCCAGCTGTGTACCTCCAAAATTGAGTGTCCTTAGATTGACTAGCTTAACTATATCCTGGGGGATATGTGTCAACTCGTTACATCCTTTGAGGATCAAAAACTGCAAATTCATCAGATTGCATATGCTTTCGGGAAGCTCCGTGACATAGCTATAAGACACATTCAAGTATCTCAAGTGTATCAAATTTCCGATGTAGTGCGGTAGGATCTCGATATTTGTGCCCATAAGATGGAGGACTCTAAGTCGCACGAAGTTCTTCAAGTAATCATCTATATCCTCCACGGAGCCACTTGTTCTCTCCACTAACAATGTCCTCACTGACTCATTTTGTTTCGTTAAACTGACGATATCCCGGATGTCCATGGTTTCAGTGGCCACAATCGACAACCGACGCAGCTTCATCGGGGCGGCACCACTTCTCCACTCGTTTTGCACGTCACTAATGAATAAGCCCTCATCTCTCGATAGGAAATGGCCAAGAGATCGCACCAGGTCATGCATCTTGGAATAATTCTTGTAGTACAGATTGAAAGGTTGTGATTGTAGAAGGCTCCTATGAAGCAGCTCTCTGTAATATTGCTCCCCTGTTTCCTCCAACATAACATCTCCTCGTGCTTCGACAAACCCCTCGGCTATCCAGAATCTGACGATGGTAGGCCCGTGAAACTCATAGTCTTCACGGAACAAGGCACAGTAGAGTAAGCATTGCTTGAGATGAGACGGCAAGTCTTGGTAGCTCAGATACAGTGCTCCATGCACGCCTTCGGGAAGCCCGGTCCGTGACCATGCGGCGCTGCGGAGAACTTCCTCCCACGCATTTCTGTTGAGTCCTCTAGTGCAGAGGACCCCTCCGATGGTCTTGATGGCCAGGGGAAGCCCTCCGCATTTCTTAACAATCTTCATGCCTGTGTCCTTGAGATCTTGGGCATCCCTTTCCTCCTCTGCATTCATCGTCGCCTTCCTGCACAGGAGGGACCAGCCATCCTCCGGAGGCAGCAGCTTCATCTCGTGGACGTGGGCCGCCTTCATTTGCCTCGCGATCCCTGCGTTTCTGGTGGTCACCAGCACCCTACTCCCTGCTGCTCCTCCCTGCAAAGGATTGCGGAGCAAGTCGTCCCAGATCTGAGCATCCCAAACATCATCCAACACCAGCAAGAACTTGTTCCCTCTCAGGAGACCCTCCACCAAGGGCTCCAACAGACTCCTGCTCTGTTCTCCATCATGGCTTCCACCAGCACCTCTAACGATATTTCTTAGAAGATCCGTCTCGCTGAACTCTTGGGACACGCACACCCAGATGGTGGTGCCGAAGTTGGCTTCGATTTTGCCATCATTGAACACCTTCTGAGCGAGCGTGGTCTTTCCGATGCCCCCGACCCCCACAATTGCCAACACCACCACGTTCTTACTCGGATCCTGCTTTGTCAGCTGCTCAACCAGTCCCTTGGCGTCCTCCTCCAGTCGCTGGCCAACCATGTCAGACTCCATCACGGGGGATGTTATGCGACTAACTCGAGAAACCAGCTTCCGTTCCGCCGCAGACACATGGAGTTGCAGCTTGGACATTCGGGCCGAGATCTCTTCCATCCTGCCGTTGAGATGCTTGATTTTGACGCCCACCTCATGTCTGAACTTGACCTCGCTTAACCAAGCAAAGATGGGAAATCTGTTGCCTTTGAACCGCTTCGGACGGGACTCTCCCGGGGTGCACTTCTCGGCCGCGGTCCGGCACTCGTCGAGGATGTCGTCGGCGTCGTACATGGCATTCTTGAGATCAGTCAGCCAGTACTTGATGGCCTTGTCTTCGATTGGGCGCTGCTCGGCATCATGAAGGACGGACTGGATGTTGCAGAGAGTGTCTTGGAGCTTTTGGATCTCCCCGGGAACGCCCAACACCAAGTCCACCTTCTCCTTGGCCATGTCGAACAATGTTTCGAGGAGCTTGGAGACGAAGGGATTCAGCACCACGGCCATATCTTCTCTCGTCTTTTGCTTTCCTGGTGGAGGTCTTTTTTTCGTTTTGAAGACCGGTCACAACGGTTAGGTGTTCTCTCAAATTATAGTTTATGTTTGCCAGAGAAGGCAACGTATGGCCGTTTAGATTAGTATGAATGGGTCAAATTGTTATGATGTCAAACTAGTGTCGTTTGGAATTGTCAAGATATATAATACGTGGAGAAAATAAAATTGTTATGATGTCAAAGCACCACTGAACTGTCAACAGGATCTCATGAACAAAGCATAGTATCTCCTTCGTTATTGAACAGAAGAACCAAGTCATGGTGCAATCATACTCCGTGGTCTTCCATGGGCTACTTTTGTAATACCTCAAATGTAATTTGAGGACCTATTCGAGAATACAGAAATTATAAGGACTAAAATGCAAAAGGTGATTGTGACACACCTGTGGGAATACTGTACTCACAAATCCCCAAACCGATCAACGGTGACCAACAACAGTAGCACCGGCAAAACATGCATAAACTATTATCATTAGCTGGACGAACAATACAAAGGAGTGTGTTTTATATTCAAATCCAACTTTGATTGTACCGACGCAGCCTCTCTCGTCTTTCACAGTGTTATTGCACCCAAAATAAATAAATAAATAAATAAAATAAAGTTGGCGTCACCTTCGGTTGCACAATAATTGACCAATTCTAAAACGTATTGCAGGATAAAATAGGCTTTGATACCAACCCAAGACTATGACATTAAGATAAAACAGGTTCTGATGCCCATAAACAAAGTTAGGAGACGGACAAAAGGATGAGTGAATGACTGAGATGTGGAGGGAGTCAAAGAATTTCTCACTTGCCATTGCAAAGAAGTTAGGACTAACATACAGATATATTAGAATTCATAAGTATAAGATTTTATATATATAACACGTACCGATCAACATTTCAAACAAAGTTAAACCAGATAATATTATAAATACAAACAAGATCACTAAAAACTAATATATCGGCTACAAGATCACAAGTAGTTAGTATACGATAGGTATTGTTGTGGGAAACAACTTTGACCCGTGGCCTCGAGACCGACGCGGCTTGGTTCGGGTCTGGACGACGGGGATTTCCCTGGGGCGCTCCTCGAGCCCGCTGAGGCGGTCGTGTGCGGTGTCCGATCGGGACGGTGTAGCCGTCTCCTCCGGGCAGGAACTCCTCGCCTGCGCGTCCGGAGGGGACCTTCGGCTTCGCACCTGCACAAAGGTCAGGCCGAGGCGCTCGGCCCAACCCCTCCGACGATCAAGTTAGCAGATGTGGAGGGGGTTTCAGATGAAGAAGGGTTTTTGTGTGTCTGTCCCCCTCTCTTTCTAATGAACGAGAGGGTATTTATAGGGAAGCATACTGCTTCCTGAGCTGCCCGTTTGCAGGGGGCAGGCTGGTAGCGTCTGTCTTTGTGTTGGCGTGACATGAAGAATTGAGTTTTGGCAGGATGTTAATGCGCCTCGATCGGTGTTCCAGTCTGCATTGACCAGGTGCTGTTCCGTGAGGCATCATCTGACGTCAACCGAGTCTTATCATAATTACTATCCTCATCAGGTATCACTTGGTGGTATAAGACAATACAATATAATCTCTATAATAAATAATTTCAAAAATTGAGAAATGATTTGGAGTGGACACTTATCATAACGACCGGCATAGTGCTGATACACCAAATTATAAACCTCGCAACATATCGATAATATGTCCGAAAATTTTTTCTACTTTAATTAGTAATTGGATACTCTAAAATATTCTAGAAAGACTAGAATGAGCTCAAGAAGCTCATACGGACATACCTTAATCTTAGCTGTGAATATCTACATATGTCAAGAATTTTAAATATTTCTAAATTATATCTTTATAAATAGACATATATATACTTAATTTATAGCATGATTCCAATAAAATCTTTTTAATCCTACCTATAATTTATTTTTCTCCTTTTTCATATCCTTCTTCTTCTTTTCCTCCAACTTTTAATTGTGAAAGGTGATGTAAAATGACCAAAAAAAAAAGATAAATAATGAAATACGACGAACTGAATATTGAAGAAACAAAGAAGAGAAATAATTTTTGATGTTTATTATAATAAGTTGATATTTTTAAGGTTATGTATATTATGTAATAATTAAGAAAACACCACCTTATATTAACCCAGAAGATATCATATTTTTTATTTTTACAAATTGCCTATCATATTTCGGGGTTGTGAATTGTATAATATTATTTTTATTTTTTTTAAGGGGTTATAAATAGTAAGAGATTGTGAATAGTAAGAATAAGGCTTTAAATGCAAAGCTACAAAACATTACATATATAAATATAAATAAATATA